TCTTGCTAGGTTATCATCTACAAAATAAATTGTTTCTTAAAGGAGACTAAGATAGGTTTTTTAATAATTTCTATTAAATCTGTAACAGCTTTAATCTCTACCGAGTTTAATTACAAACGTTTAACGGTATTTGACACGATGAGAACAGCTATTGCAAGAATTAAATGACTGCCCTCCTTAATGGGTTAAATTGCTTAATGCCGGGGTCCCGGGTTCACAGTGTTATCTATTAAGACTATTGACTCGGAATTCGCATACTAGCTATTGTATCAGATTTAGTAAAGGTTGAAATGCAAGATGTTTTGCTGTTAGAGTTCTTTTTTTAATTTAACACATATTATTAACTCAAAACCTTATCTTCGTCTAATCTAAAAGCTATTGAATTGAATTTTTTCATCAAGTGAAAACGGCACTGTCTTTATTTTTGCAAACAAATGCATTTTCTGATTTAGCGTACCCAACCCTGTTATTTGTGGATGTAGCGTACCTGTCCCCGTAGCATGAGCACCACAATTTCCATTATACCACTTTTGTCGCGTATAACTGTCAAACTCCATAGTAATTTGACAATTGAGCGTGATAAAAACGCGTGTTATATCATATCGCGGTGCTCATGCTAGAGGGTCTGCACTATATAAAAACATAAGTAAGTTGCACCACCGAATACCAAAACCTATTCTTTTTTTACTCATAAATTAAACGATTAACTAACACCCACTAAACATACCAAAATATAAAAAACAAACCAATGAATTTGCAAATCAAATTTATTTAAACATTAGGTACCTATCTACGGAGACGACAAAAAATTATAGGAGTCATCAACGACGATTGAAGTCCAGATCACAAGTCTGAAGCCTTTCATTTAGTCTAGACTGGAGACAGTCTCAGTGATGGCTGGCCATTGACCGGCATCGGCATCACAGCTGATTAGTAAACATTGAGCAGTGCAGCCCGCCTGTATCCGCCACGCACTCTCTTGGCGAATCATAAACGGATTTAAATGAATATCAAGCACTTTCATCGCATCAATTGATTAACAATTTGCTAGGAAAGAAAATTATAATATTTTCTAACTTTCGTCCGTGTCGTAACATAAGTACGAAGTGTGTTAAAAAGTGGTAAGATCTAATTTAAAGTATGTATACTTATTTATTGTAGATGTTAAAGAAGGTTAACCTAATCACGACGTTAATCTTTAGCAGGACCTACCTATAATGAATAACTTTAAAGTAAATGAAGGCTCTTTCTGGCGGAGAGATGCAAAAAACAGTATTTTTGACTACGATCGTTAAAAAAACCATGAAACCAACGCGTTTTTGAAGTGAAAACTTCTTTAGTACCGTACAGTACCCTAGCACGAACCATTATCGATAATTTTCGAAATTCTAATAGTTTGCAAACCGAAATGTCAATGTCAAATTTTGTATGGAAACTTGAACAGCAGCGCCGCTTTGGACGTAACGGGAACTAAAAATCAGTACACATTTGACAATGACATTTCGGACTCGCAAACATTACGAATTCGATTTTGGCTCGTGCTAAGGGTACCGTTGTGATTTGAGATTCGATGAAACGGAAATAGAGTATTTGACACAGGATAGCGGTCTTGGGGTCGACACCGACTGATCGGTGGTTCGGTCCTGAGCTCGGTGATTCTTTTTAATTGTTCTTTTATTTTTAAATTAAGCTATTATTTATTTTTCGTATCAATTTAAGTAAAGAATATTTAAATTTACCCAGTATTTTACAATACCTGTATAGTTTTAAGTATTAAACCTTTGGTAGGTGCCTAAGTTGTTTTTATTAATACAGATTTGGTTTTTTTCAGCAATCCTTACCTTTCCAATGTTTGCAATATTTTTACAGTAATATTTCATAAATAAATATTTCAAAAAGAAAACATAAGATAAGAAAAACATAACAAATAAAATAAAAAATAGCTGGTAACAAATAAAACTTTTACGTATTCACATTATTGTAGGTTTTTAATTGTAACGCAAATAAAACTATGGTCTTTTCACATCACTGACACGGCTAAATCTTGAGGAATATCTGGATTTGTCACAAATTAAGATGCTTTCTAAGGCAATAAGGATGCTTTCTAAGGCGTGCTAATGAGCAAAAAATAGGACCGCCCACAGAGGACACTCAAGCTCAAGTGTCCTCGGATGTTTGACTGGAAACACTTCTATGACACTCGAGTGTCATGGAACGTTTGGGAGGGTACAAAGCTTGAAAAAAGGTATCACAATCACAACAACCGTGGTGTTTTGTATACGTGTACGTATTTAAAGTTTATAGTTTTTTCATCATTTTTATATCTATCGAAAAAGCAAGACAGTGTTTTTGTAATCAATCAACCCCGCAATCTCGCAGGGTCTCGCGTTGGATCCCCGATCGGGTCAAGTTATAAAAATATTTTTTTAAAGTTATACTTCTTTAAGCGCGTTATGAAAAAATGATGACAATGAATTTTGTAGATGCGCGCGCATCACTGTAACACAAAAGTAACACCATGCCGCTAAACCGCACATTAAGTCTCGAAAAAAAAGCTACCAACAAAATAGAAATAGAATCTCTATCTATTAGTCGCGCATGTTGGCACGCTCGTCGCCTCTGAATACTGTTTTCATATTTATAATATTTATCAATATGTTTATTCTTTCTATATTCACAACACGTGTTTTACTTTCATACAAGTGTGAACTATATGTATTAATAAATTATATTCAGTAGTGATTTAAATTGAATATTTTGATTATTTATTTAATTTTTCAAATTAAAACTGAACTTTATTGACTGGGTGGAGTATCCTTTTCCTGTCCTTTTATTATTTTATTGTAATAAATTATTTGCATGTAATTAAAAACTATTTTTTAATGATGCCAAAGAAGTATAATTTCTCAAGCGTGTTCATAAATACACGCACTATTTTTTTTTATTTACCTCAATAAAAAAAAATACGAACAACTCTGTATGAATAGGATAGCAGGAAAAAGCATAATTCCACAAAATATTTCAATACGATTTTGTAATGTAAGTAATAAACTTTTAAGGGGCCGTTCATAAAATACGTTTGCATACAAGGGGGGGGGGGGGGGGAGGGGTCTTGCTAAGTGTGACAAGATGTGACAAGGGGGGACGGGGGGTCTACGGCAACGTGTCGTTAATTAAAAAAATTTAAATTACTATTTCTTTCAACTATTTTTCTTTCTCAATTTTCATCAAGATAGAAAATCATTTATTTCGTATTTAGTAAACATATAGACATTCAAACGTATATAGTTTTATTATACAATAAATTGTTACTTGATATATTTACTCATGTTTATTTTTCGACATTAGCGCATATTTATATATTTAAATTTTATTATAAAAACTAAATAAATATTTAAATTCTTAAAATTTGTGTACTATCAATTGAAATTAATCATACTTGGGGAGGGGGGGGGGGGGTCTCCGTTTTGTGACGGAATATTTCAAGAGGGGTCACAGAAAGTGTGACACAGCGTGACAATAGGGGGGGAGGGGGTCGGAAAAAGCTGATTTTAGCGTGACGTATTTTATGAACGGCCCCTAATCACATATTTGTTCTTTTTAAAGATAGGTAGGTACTTCATGTATGTGTAACCGTGTATCTTTAATTTAATAATAGATCTTATCTTCTTCCAGATTAAAAAAAAAACTCTCGTGTTGTTAGGTAGAGGTAAAATGTTTTTTTTTTCGTCTGCCAACTATATTTGGTTCCTTCCGCGAGTCATTAGCTTTGTTGATTTTGAAACATCCGCATCTATTTCATCGGTTTCATAACAATGAAAACTATATTTACCTTCGTTATGCTGAAACCATTTATAATATTTTGACTTAGTTCGTAGAATACTAAAAACTAATTCGGTTATTTACTGTATTATTAAATCACTACTAATTACTTTTTCTTTACTTAAGAGTAATTTCTAATATTATCAATATTTATTTTCGTATTTATATAGAGCCTTTTATTTACAGAACATGCAGCCTCATAATAACCTGATCAAAAATTACACAGAACTAATATTATGAATATTGTTACCAAAAATTTAATGATTTATTATATAAACAAAACCGTAAGATATTTAAAGTAAATTCATACTTATAATTTTCGTCTAAGCTGATGATGTAATAAAAATCCGCTGCCCAAAAAAGGCTTTCGACTTTAAATGTAATATAATAAACATACCACATTTTTATTAAACCATTCGGAAGTATTAGTCACAATAATATCAAATTGTGAGTCATTGCCATAGGTTGAGAACTTGAAAACAAACCGTAGGTAGATAAATGGCATCATGGCCTTTAACAGGTGTCATTATATTAAGCTTCCGACATTGAACTACATGAGATGAGATATGCAATAACCATCTGTAGTGCTATGTGGTGCTATTCTGGAAGAACAAACACACTTTTCACCTCATAAGCCAGGGTTTGATTTAAAATTGGAACACGAATTTCATATAAATTTCAAATCACACCGGCCAATTCCGCGGTGAAAAGTGTTTTTGTACTTACAGAACAGCACACTGCTGGATATTTTTATTTATTTTTTTGCCAGCACATAAGTATGCTCACTAAATGGATCTCTAGAGCAGCTGCGGCTGTGCAATCAAACATCCACTAAGACTGGTTTTAAGTCCGATTTCGCTATAATTCTTTACCAAAAAGGAAGAAATTACTGCGGCAAAATAAGAACATTATTATGCGACATTAAAATCAAATTTGCTAAAGGAAACTGAGCTCTATTCATTAGATTCACGAATGCCTCAGTCAAGGAGCCAGTTTTGTCCTATATTTGCGAACGAGATATGTACCTCAATTTTCTTACCACTCCGTAGTTTCTTGCGAAGGATAGCGTGTCACCTGTTTATTAACTTTTAAATGAGCTATTTAGGAGGTTCTACCAGTTTTTCTATGTTATCTATAGTGAGTTTCATTAAAAACATTAAGAAAACAACAATATTTAATTATCGTTTGTTGGTACTTCGTGCATTCTTCAGAGCGGCTGGGTTGATATGGCAATTTTTTGTGATGTTCACGGCCCCAGATTTTGGTGCGGAGAATTTACGAAATTCCTGAGTATTCTCATGACTTTCATATTCAAATATAGACTTTTTTATGTTATGACGACCTCCGTGATCACTCGACCAATAGGTTTGTACGCCTGGTTTCATGGTGTGGCCGACTCGACAGGTCCCGGTTTCGAATTCCGGTGGGGGCAGATGTTTGTGTGATGAATACGAGCATTTGTACTCCAGTCATGGATGTTTTATATGTGTTACCGGCCAAACCCGATTTCAGGACAATCTAGTTTTGCCTAGGCTAAACTGGTTCTTCCTATACGCGATAGGATTAACTAGTATAGCCTAGTCCAAACTAATTTATCCTAAGCGCGACAGGATAAACCAGTTTAGCCTAGGCCAAACTAGATGATCCTGATATAAATACGCACACTCTAGGATAAACTAGTACGACCTAGTCTAAACCAATTTAGCAAAGCGGAAAGTAATTGAACAAACATGTCAGGACTTGTACAGGGCGCGTCATGTAAAAAGAACGCTGGAAGAAAGTGGAGGGAGTGTTTTTTCTGTAATTGGTTTTTGTTTAACTCTTTTGTTGTTGCCGGGAGTTCGGAAGACAGTAAAGCCGGGTACGCATTAGCGATCTGTTACCGTAACATGCGTGATACAGTACGAAGTTCTAGTGTGTACGCTAGTAGCTCAGTTGTGAACGTTGGCTCGCTTCAAACCGCACGCGTACCGTTCTCGCAGCAGGTTATCGAACCACGTACACACTATGCTTTTTGGTTACAGTGCGTGCAACGGTTATGGTTACAGCTCGCCAATGAGTAACTACCCGGCTTAAGAAATTCCGAATCATTCGAACCTTTTACAATTCATCTCACTGTAAACTCAAAATATTTTAAGAAAAGTTTACTAGAAAAAAAAACCACGCGGACCAGGCAGCGGACCGGACTCGAACCCGCACCCTTCGCAATCCGGGCGAATGCACTGACCATTATGCTACCACGGCCCTATTCGCCGCGTCGAAATTTTCCTAGCCTTAAGCTGCAAGGCAGCGCCATCTCTTCGCATTGTAGGTTGCAACCACGCAACCCACAATGTCAAATGAATACTTTTTCAAGTATTAAACATTTGAAAGAAGAAATAGCAATTATAGTTAGTGTTTTTATTTATTTTTAAGCATTTAACTGCTAGGTGTTTAAATCTAAAGAAAAGTTTACTAGAAAAATTAAACTATTCTTACTTTTCTTTGTATTACTAATTATCCATAACTTGTAACGATGAATCATTATGGTTTTAATAAAAAATATTATTTTTCCAATTACGGATTATTTTATTCAGTTTATCTATTTATTTTGACTTTCTAGATATACTATAATGTTTACACTAGGCCATACTAGTTTATCCTAGAGTATGCGTATTTTTATCAGGATCAACTAATTTGGCCTAGGCTAAACTGGTTTATCCTATCGGGCTTAGGACAAATTAGTTTGGACTAGGCTATACTAGGGTCGATTTCACGAATCGAATTAAAATGATACATTTTATAAGAGTTTTTTAAAACACCGTGTAAATGATATCTGATGGTGCGGAACGTTTACCAAACTCAAATTATACCCCTAAGTTTTAAAAACTTTGGGGGGAATTGAATACTTTTAAAGATATTAAAAAATTATCTGACACGAATGAGTTGATGGTTACACTAATGAAATTACATGATTTACAAATGAAATGTGGGTGACACTAATGAGAGCCACTTGCATATTAGTTTGCATCTTATACCACATTACTATTTAAGTACTTATTGTTGGATTTATGTGATAATAATGTCCCACCCAATAAAAAGGACATTTTTCTAAAAATGTTTAGTAATTCAGTTTGAAATAAAAAAGAACAATATACTAAAAAAATCACATTTATTGAATCAACGAAGTAATTATTGTTATCCAGTTTTTTATTTATTAATCTTTGGAACCACAAATTATTTTATATTTTAAATAATATTAACGCATTCATTAAACTCTAACAAAAATAAAAATAATTAACTAATTAACAATTCTATCCTTGTAATTTATAATTTTTGGAATCATAATACTTCTTTTCTTAATTTTCTTGATTTGGTTAAGATATAAAATTTTTGATATTAAAATTAATCACAATGTTAGTGGTATTTGTTTGAGGTAGTTTAGAGAAATATTACAATTAGACAAAATAATAATTAGAAATATGATTAGAGTAAAAAAAGTAAAGCAAAGTAAGTAATCACTGTGAGGCGTGTAATAATGAATAAAACTTGCATTTTTTATTTCTTCTGATTAGACATGGCATTAATAAAATTAATAAATTCTTGTTCGTGCTCACCCGTTTTCAATTGGCTATTAACAAAGGTCTGATTTTCCCAGTGATTTCTTACTTTTGCAAGTGTAACAACGTTTTGGTTTTTACGAATTTGGCGTAGCCCAGATGTAGATGGCTTAGGAGACTCGTTGAATTGCAGGGTTATGTCCTCTAAAACATGAATTTGCTTGCTGGCTGGAACAATTTTTACATTTTCGACAGATGATGCGATTGCACTCTTATAAATCTTATGCAATTGCATATGTTTATTGTCATGGTGGCAGATTTCTTCAATACACAAAAAGCAGCTTAATTTTCTGAATTCAAGGAAGTCAGAATGAATATTCCAGAGTACCTGATGTACCGACATGGTTCCTTTAAATGGCGAAATATCCTTAGGCAACATAATTTCTTTTTCTATAATGTCAGCTTCGTTGACTACTCTTATTTCAACGTTTTTAACGTTTTCTTTTACGACGGCAAGAAACTTTGTAAAGTCACCAACGTCATTTCCACATTTTACCTGATAATCTGCCGACCTTTTTACTACCGCACCAATGCCATCAGGTGCTCCTTTTCCGTGGCCGCTTTCTTGAAAATTCCATGTTACACATTTAAGAGATGGAAAAGTATTATGAAGTTGAGTAATAATGTAAAATATTTGTTTATTCCTGTACTGACTGGTTGGACTGTCTGTGAGAATATGAACGGTGGTAACGGATGAACACTTTTCAAATACAAATTTTAAAGCATTCTCTAAGTGGGCCCATACTGCTGGTGCATCATGTCGCGTACACTCGCTTACGGTACAGAAAGAATAGTGAGCATTGTCTCTTCCTTCCTTAAGGTAGGCCACTACCGTATGAAGAGAAACTTGTCCTCGGCTGCCTCCGAAGTGTAAGCTTTGTATTTCTTTAGCGAATTTATAACAATAATTTTCGGAGAAGTCCATATGTAGTAAAGTTTCATTAGGGCTCAGAGACTGTTTTATCATTGTTATAGCTTGGTATTGATTGAGTATATTCCCTGTATGAACAAAAAACTTCGGCAATGATGATTCTAATTTTTGTATAAGATTTCTAGGATTTATTTTTTGAGAAACTTTCTTGACAACGTTGATATCTTTGGCCCCGACTTTCTTTTTATCTCGGACCCATTCATAATATTCTATTTCTTCCTGGTTATCAAATTCTTTGTAAGCTATCGATTCATTTTTGCAGACATCACATTCGCGAGCAACACACTTAGCAGAAAATTTGGTGCAGCACAGGACTCCTAGCATTTCTTGATAATTTCTTAGATCAATAATTTTATTTTTCCTTAAAGCATGAATAATTAGGTCTATGTTAGTATGAGTAGTGCAAGCACACGTGTCTCTATCATCTCTAGGCAGATATACCCAAAATGGTCGAAGTCTTGAGAAAGTTACGTAACTGATTTTTATTAGAGGATTTTCTTCGAGAAACTTTTTGTGCAGATTTTTAATCGAGTCCAACATATACCGTTTCTGTTTCTGAATTCCATACTTTTTCACACATTGTTTCTTTCCTGCGCCAATACGACTATTGATATCATCTTCATAATATTCTTTAACTAATTTTTGAATATCACCCCCGCTTTTATTTATTTCTTTCAGAAACCTGTCATTTAAACACTTTTTACGAAGGTCTAAATTATTTTTCTCTTTTGTTTTAATTATATTTTTCGTTTTAGCCTGTACAGCTTCTTTATCACAATCAGAATGGGGTGATGGAGCGGGGAGTTCAAGATGATTATCATCGTTAATATTATCTTTTTTATTTTTTAGTTTCTGGCTCAGTATTTTATTTACTCTATTTAAAATTCCACACCTATTTTTATATTTTTTGATTAAAAATGACAATTCTTTTTTTTCTTTTAAATGTTTAAGCTTTAATAATTTAATCTTGTTTTTATAATACTGGGTTCCCTTTTTATTATCTGTTTTTATTGTACATTCCTTAAGAGGATCACTCAAAGAATCAACCGTTCCTTTACTATTTTCGGCGGCTGGAGAATCGTCAATATTAATTTCATTTATTTGTCGCTCCTTGATTTTTTTTTCTAAGTATCGTTTAGAACTTTCTTTCCATCGCCTCCTTTGGACTTTTTGTTCCCGTGGGGACATATCTTTTATGCTCTTTACTTTATTTTGAATTTTTCGTTTTAAATAGGCTTCTCTCTTTTTTTGCTGTTCAATAGAATATCTCTCTGGGTTGGCTTTTAATTTTTTATATCTTTCCCGCCGCGCCACCCTTTTTCTTTCCAGGTCTTCTTCACGAGATTTTCCCTTTGCCATTTTGACCTTAAACAAATTCGCAAAAAAAGATGTAAGATGCTTTTAGTTTGGACGGGCTAGATAACCTAAGCTTAAGTAACATGTAGGTAGGTACTCAAAAAGTTATTTTATTTAACTGCAAACGACTATGATTATATAATTGCAAGCTAATGTATTGGTAAAAAAAAACATAATCGGTACACGAGAGCCAGAGATTACCCCTAAGATCAAAAACTTAGAGGTGAAGTTATAATAAAATAAATAAATCATAGCTTTACAGTAGGTAGCAAGAAAACACAAGTGTGCATTATATAAGCATATAAGAAATTGATGATGAAAAAAAAATACTCGGATCATTTGGGTAAAATTGCATATCATTAGTGTCCCTATAAAATCGACACTAATGAGGCGACACAAATGATTTTTTGAAATGAAAATTGAAATATTTCGTCGTCGAATAATCTAGAAGCTATCGAAAAAATACACCGAATCTGTGTCACAAATAGCTATTCTTTGCACATTACTGCAATACTACTGAAAAATAACTATTGCCTGCATTGCACTGGACGCAAATGAATACATTTTGGGTGCAAGTATTGAAATCGAGTTGGACATAAGTTTCTTACCGGTTTGACGAAGCGCACGTCTGCTCTCGTAGGGATGTTCCGATACTAGTAAATACGAGTAGGTACTCGATACTTTTGATTCGATACCAAGTATTTATAGCATCGAATCAATCTTGCGATAAATACTCGGTATCGAAACAAAAGTACTTGGTATCAAATCGAATCAGCACCACCATTTAAAAAAGATAAAATTTCCGAACGCAGACAGTATGAGAGAGCAAAAGCCCTTTCGCTCGGTTACCGGTATTCATCGCATAGCGGTGTGGTTGCGCCAGGCGAGCCGAACTCGTCCGACTTCATCCGAGCCCGAGCCGAAAACGAGAGAGCTGTCCGCCCGCCATGTAAGTTGTCATCATTGGCAACATAATGAATTTTCAAACTGTCAAGTCGAGATTTAATTTGCATATACAAATGATTGTTTTCAAGTAATTTTATAAATTGTGTTATCATGGCACCACCAAAATCAATAAAATTTTACCAAATAAAACGAAACAATTGCAAAATGTAAACAATGTTTTAAGTCTGTGAATTCTGTGTGAATTTGGGATAAAGGCAAATTAGAGAAAAAGCAAATAAAGGGACCAATGAAAGGTAGGATCCTATACTTTTCTTTTTTTCTACTGCTCTCCTAAAATGTTAAACAATCCCTTTGAATTCCTAAAATGTTAAAAAAAAGTGACGCAAAACATTTATATTCTCGTTTTTTCTCACTTTTGTTTTAATTTTTGTTCTTCGACGTTTATTGTTTTTACTTTAGTTTCCTCAAAGTAAAAAATAAATAAAAATAAGTGCTAAAAGTATCGATATCAGTAAGTATCGATACTTTAGGAGTATTTATTTAAGTAGTATCGAAAAAAGATTTGAGTACTATCGAAATGAGTAGGTATCGATACCTTGATGGTATCGGAACATCCCTATGCTCTCGTCGCACGTTCACGCGTCACTGGGGCCCCTTAGCGCGCAGTAAAATGCAGGCATCGGGGTAAGCATTCGTTTTTTTTATATAAATTTAGAAGTTCGGGTCACACTAATGAGCATTAATGTTAATAGGCGCAAGAAAAGGCTGGGAAATCATATTCACGATTGCCTAATCTTTAAATAATTAATATAAATTAACGCCACAGTTATTCAAGTTTACCCCAATAAAAACAAATCGTAATATCCACTCGTCAATAATTTTTATTTGGACTTTAACTTGAAATACTCCGAAAAAGACATATAACACGAATGAAGTGATACATGGTTTTTTGTTATTTAAATTATTATTACTAGTTTCGACCAATAATTATGAAATGTTCTGTTCAAAGAGTTAATTTAAGGATAATATTGCGTGAAATGATGTCAACATAAATAATATCTTGAATTTTATTAGGAAAAACCTGTTTTCACGGCTTGTCTGAAATCGACCCACTAGTTAATCCTATCGCGCATAGGAAGAACCAGTTTAGCCTAGGCAAAACTAGTTTGTCCTGAAATCGGGTTTGGCCGGTAACATATGTATTTCTATATTAATATACTTATATATGTACAGTATATGTATTCTATCCGTTACCCTAGTATCCCATAACACAAGCCCTACAGTGCTTACTTTGGGGCTGCTAGGCTAATTGGTGTGAGTGTTGGAAATATTATTATTATTATGTCATATTAGGGTTCCGTTGTCACTAAATTGGTCCGGAATCAGAAAAGGAATAATTTTCTATCTAAGTTTAGTTCAATAAAGATTGGTTTTCCGTATGCAGCCGTTGAAGCGCCTAACAATATTATTATTACTCGTGACGATGAAATATGACCGATGGATGTAGTAGGCTATGCAATTATAAGCACCTGGCACCTAGCAACTAGCTAATCTACATTTGAAATTGCACTATTGCATCTGCTCGACTGTCAATTGCATAGAATTCTAGTTTTTGTTCAAGACAGTTGAAAAGTAGCTAGAAAAATAACACACATACCTACTTTGCAGACTCCTAGTTTGACCACAGTTATGGAAAACCGTGCTGACCAGTTATGGAAAATTTATTCTACCTATGGGAGATTTTACTAGAGTTTGGTATAAGCTCGAAATAGTCTTGCTAGTTAGTGGTCATATTTTTGCTTTTTACTGCTAAATAAAATCGCAATGATAAACCAAATGACCCACCACGCGGGCCCAGTGCGGATTGTTACTTGCTAACGACTGTAGATGCAGCCGAGAACAACGGCTTAACGTGCCTTCCCAAGCACGAACAAGCGAGAGATAGTATAGTGGTCAACCATCCAATGACCGACCACTGCTTAAGTTGATTAACTTCAATGATCGCAGCCGAACGCGCTAACAACTTGCGCCGTGGAGCTCCTCATGAAATGTAATAAGAAAAAACGACCTCCGTGGTCGAGTGGTTCGTCGCCGGGTTTCATGGTGTCGCCGACTCGAGAGGTCTCCCGGGTTCGAATCCCGGTGGGGGCAGATGTTTGTGTGATGAATACGAGCATTTGTACTCCAGTCACGGATGTTTAATATGTATTTATATATAAATATACTTATATATGTACAGTATATGTATTCTATCCGTTATCCTAGCATCCCATAACATAATAGGTGTGTGTTAAAAAAAAAAGAAACTTAAAGTGAACTTGACTTACTAACTACAAATTGCAAACTCAATGTTAATCAATCATTAGGGTACTTAAGTACTGTACTTCGTCAAAAGTGTGACCCCTTTTCCTCTTTTAAAGTTTAAATGTGGTCAATTAGCTGGCATAAAAAGAAGACCGCAAAAAAGTCACATTTCCTATAAGCAAACAAAAAAAAGTATTAGGAAGTACGGAAATTGTATAGTAAATCTCATTAATTACCTTTTAGTAGTCTTCCTGGAACCACACAGACCGGAAACTATCTAAATGTCAGACTGTCAATCTACTCTAATTGATATTAAACTTTAATGATTTGGAAACGATATTCAAAACCGATGAAAAAAGAAGGTCATTTTAAATATTTATTCCGTTTCTTTAAGAGAGGTAAGAAAACTAGTGGCCCGCCCTTGCTTCGCTTCGATGTAGACTATAATGTTTGGCCATGTATTTTACATATTGGCCAGACCATCAGTGAAAATTTTATTAACTATTGAAGGAAGCCCAACATTTAGTTTCTATCTAGAGTATCTCCAGCTACCCCAAAAGGTTAATAGATGTTAGAACCTGTTAGAAGTATTAGAACATAGTATGTGGAACAAAACGACATCCCTGTCTGTTTTCCCCTGCGTCCGTCTTCACGACTACAGTAATTATTGTCTGTGCGTTTAGTCTAAATAGTTTCCATTCTCGCTTCGCTCTCGCGAAGTTGGGGACAAACGTGCAAACAGTAACCAATAAAAAAATACTTAAACATCTAAAACTACATTTTTTTACCTAACCGGCTTATTTACGCATACTTCCCAGAGTAATCCGATCGGGAGAATAAGAATTTTCGATTCAATCGCTCGACCAGTACCTATATATCACATAAAAAAGCTATGCAGGCGCCGCAAAAGGCATTTAAACACCGGTTCTTCCTTCAGCAATGTAACAATTGCATTCCCACAGGCTCTTATTGCTTCGTTTTAAGGTTGTTATGGCACATACTGCGGGCTGATGTAATCTTGTCAAGGTGTAACGGTCTGCGGCAGGCGTGACGGGTATCGCACTCATTTTCATTACAAACGCAACGCATGCACGATGCATTCCTCCGCCTCCCATATTGAAGTCTATGGTAATAAGTTGCCATAGACCACAATCACTCCAATGGTAATCTATTGCGTTCAATGGTAACAATTGGACCAAAATGAGACGACGACGTGGGTTATTAAGCTACCATCAACTCTTGGGTAACCATTTAGAATGAGGGTCCTTATTCAATTGTATTTGCGTAAGATTACATTAATCTTGACAGTAACTACCTAAAGTAGTCACAATTTTTAGGTTACCGTAATCTGCAAGGAACCCCAACACCCCCTTATTAATAAACGAACAATAATCCTATAATAGTTACTTCATCTTTTGTCTGTGTTCATTGAATAACAAATGGCATTTGAGTGATGTGAACAAAACACGACGTAACTAGTCTAAGCTTATTCCTCGTTTATTTATCGCTATAGTTTCGTAGCGTCTGCCCATCCTTCAGTCCACAGATTTACTTGAAGACCCATACAGTAAGATACTACTAGACAGCTGTAATTTTTATATTTACACAACATAACAAATTCTTATTTATTTACTAGCTGACCCAGCGAACTTACCGGGGCAGGTGGTGGAAGAGAAAATTTAGGGTTGTATGTATTTTTTAATACCACATTATAAAAAATAAATCATGTCCAAAAAAATTAGGGGTGTGTAACGTAGTGTTCTATCAATTTCCTGGTATAACATTCCTCCTAA